CGTATATACCCATGTTTATTACATAAAGCTTTTTTTTTTAACAATGGTATTTTTAGTCATTAGGAGAGATGTGACGTCATCGACATGGGTGTGATATCATCAACATGGAGTAATAAATGTCATTAGTGTGATCTATGTGGGTGATATATCACCAATATAAAGCATTAAATGACATTAGTGTACTCCATATGGGTGATGTACTATCCTATGTGGATCCTGTCATACTCATCCTAATGACAAAAAATATCCTTATTAAAAAATACCCTACATACAAAACAAAACTATAAAAAACAAAACTATAGAAGTGTCTAAAATTGTTAAGTATAATAATAAATTACTTCTAAACATCCTAACATAACCTATATATATATAAAGAAGATAAAGGTCTTACAGCTTTTTTGCTTCAACTTTGTCCTCAGTTTCTAGTATTTGTTGCCACGTTCTCCTAAACTCTTTCATGGAAGCATTGTCGTTTGGGTTCCGCACAAGGATAATAGCTCCCACAGTTCCCAATTTATGGACAACTTCTGGCATGGCCTCCTCCATCTTCTCAACAATAATGTGGCTGGGTATTATTGAGGTCTCACCGCCTTCTCGTGGGGGCTCCATACAGAAGAAAAAGATCTTGGAAGGGAATTCTTCTCTCTACAAACAATAAATGGGAAAATGGAAAATATGCTTTATTTGAGCAACAAGGACATTTAAGCCCCTAAAAATGAGAAAGACATATAATAGAAACATAATTAAAAAATTCGAGCTTTTGGAAAGATCACAATATAAATATTGCAACCCTCATTTGAGATGAGAATGAACAAAGATATGAAAATACATATTGCATATAACGAGATAAAAAAGTGTATGGTATACTATTGTATCATTATTGTATACTCAATAAAAGAACATGGCACAATTATTTTTCAAAAGTTCCATTCTCTCTCTAAATTTTTTTCACATCATGACAAATACTAATATGTTGGCTTGAAACCCACTCACCTCACGTCACCTCATGTAGTTTTCAAAGGAGATTGAAACAAGATAGGAAAGTGTATATATTTTTACTTGTGGATATATTTTTACTGTAGGCTTTCCAAAAGCTGGAATTTTTTAATTTTTGTTTCCATTAACAAGGAGGGAGGTTGTTATAGGAAGGAGTTTTTTTTTGTAATATGGCAATGGGTCTATGGTTTTTGTGACATATAAACCTTGGCATTTTTTAAACATTTTTCTTGGAGTATCCCCATAGAAGTAGATAATGCTGCCTAAAATCCCTCCTCTCTCATTTTATTCTCTAAATGATGTACAGATGGTGGAAATTGGTATTTCTGACTCCCTCATCCAATCATACATCGAAACATCTGTATGTTTGTAATTTCCCTGCCTTTTTATTGCATGATATGCAATTTTTCGAAGTCAATAGATCCCAGGTTTCCTAATTCTCCCATCCCCAGAAGTTAAATTTAGTGGATGTTCTTTCATTTTTGACTTAAAAACAAGTTTTTTCAACTTTCATATGAAATAGGGCCACACTTTCTGGAGTGATGTTAACAACTTACAACAATACATATATCAATATCTTGCTCATTTCCTTTCTAGAAATTGCGCTAAAAAATCAGCCAATTAAGGGTATATTATAGCCTACTAATGAACTTATATAGTTGCATCTATAAAAATAAAACTTCTTGTTGATGTCAAATGCAAGAAATGTGTGGTGTTTAATTATTTCTTAAACGCCTTTTTGTTGGTGCCCTAATTTGGAATCCCCTGCATTAAGATTCAAAGGCATTCTGGCTTGATCTGCAGCTATTCATGATGGAAAATATTTTTATAAATATATTTTTTTTCGAAACAGTGCTGAAAATCTAGAAAAGCTACAAAAAAAAAACAAAAACAAAAAAGGAAATAAGTTTCCCATACTTATTTGACATTACTAATTTAATACCACACTTTTTTTGGATGAAGTTTCTATAGGGCCTAAGCTTTATGAAAACAAAATAAAATCTCACTTTAAATCCTCATCGAGAAAGCACTTTGGGCATCATAGATCTTCATGATGGATCTATTACAGATCTTGCGAGTTTGTTAACACTTATTTTTAAGGGGATTTGGATGGTCTAGATGATTTATTACAATATGCACTATTTTTTAAATTTGAAGTCATATTTTTTTTTTTCACAACCATAATGTTCAAGTTGAGATGATTGATTTAAAGGTTTTTCAACACTTGAATTGCAATTTTTGATGAGTTAAGCCGCGAGGCTTTACTTATTTTAACATGGTTGCAGCCCTATGAAACCACTTTCCTTTTCATCATTGAAGCTAGGTGTGATTATTTTTCATATGACTATTAAAGTGTCACAAACAATACCTTACTAAAAACAAAATGTGGAAAATGATTTGTACAATTAGAAAACAAGATAGTAAACGAATTGAATTCTACAATGCTCAAGTCAAGGAGTTGATATTAAATTTGTTCACGTTAAATTTAGAGCAAATTAGTGAGGGATATTATCGGGGAGGGTTAATTACCATTTGGTGTCTCTTTGGTCCAAAATTATGAGCACCACCTTTTTTTACCCATAGTTTATTTTATTTTGTTTTATTATTATTATTACTACACCCGAAAAGATTCGGGTTTTGGGCTCTTGACTTAATTCTCATTAGGGCTGGCCATGGGCCAAGAGGCCTGGCCAGGCATAGCCATAAAACGTAGGGCCTAAGCCACAAAGTGTGATGCTCTTGTTTATTTTTCATTTGCCATTGGCCCAGACCAGTTAGGCCAGGCCCTTTGGGGACAAGGGCCAGGGCTAGCACGGCCCTGGCCAGGCCCATTGCCATCCATACTTCGCATCTTAGTGTTTGTTATTAGCAATTTAATATTTCGTTATGGATTCTAAGTTCTAATTATATTGTCTAAGCTTAACTCTAACCTTTTATGTCTATGCCTGAAACTTACCCCTAGTAAACTGAACTAGTCGAACTGTTTTTGCAAACAAAGAAGTTTATGAGCAATCCTTCGTGACAATCCCGTTGAGGACCACGATATTTTTAAAATAGCTAAACTACACTCAAGAAGTTCTATGACCAAGCTTCTTGTGTCATCTATTTACAGTTCTAAGAAATGGTGTTCTTAGGATTGATATTTTGGAAGCAATGGTCGTCCACTAGGACTGTTGTCTACTTGTCAATGTTAATTAGAGGGAGAGCATTGACTCATAAATTCGTCGAATCAACTTAGAATCGTTTGAGTCGGTTCGGATTTATTAAACATTTTGAAAAGAGTTGTCCAAAAATTTGGCCGGTTATTCTGAGTCCCTTTTTATAATTCTCTAGAAAACTTTAAGTGAGTCTCCTGAGCCTAGGGCCTGTAATTTAATTTCCCCAATAAATGGTTGGGCTTAGGAATTGGCAAGTCTGAGGAAAGTCCATATTTTTAAAGACGGGGACAAAGTACTAGCAAGGACACTTTGAGAAACAAGAAGATCATCACATACACGACACAGAGAGAGAGAGAGAGAGCTCTCACATTTGAGCTTTCATGGTGGAAATCGATGAGCAACTCGGGCGGAGCCTCATTGGAAGTATAGACACGATCAATCACCTTGGTGCGCGGGGCATCGCCATTCCCGTAATCCATCTCCTCCCACCCAAATGCCTCCACCACGCTTCGAAAGTCCTCGGCACAACGCACATCAAACCCTCGAAAGAGTATCGCACAATGACGACTCAACTGTTCATACAGCCACACACGATTTGCCCTAACAGCTTCTGCCAAACTCGTTTCTCCCCCTTCATGCTTGTGAAATGAGGGAGAAAATGTGGTGGCTCCATCTTCACATCCATGAGAGGGGAGGAGGGTCCTAGGGAAGACCATCCCACCAAACCACTTCTCTTCTTTCAGTTTTCCTTCTACAAACTCCATTTTTGGCTGCTAAGGAGCTTTAGCTAACCAGATTAGAGGGTCATGATATCA